CAGCGAGATGGTCAGAGTTCTCCAAGAAAGCTCTGAATGGAAGGAATGCTATTCCTCGTGTCCCTGAAGCTATGACGATTCACAGGACCACTCTAACGAATGGGGATTTCCTTGAGGTCCTCTCGAGGAACTAAGATCAGTAGAACGATAGGTGATACAGGTGATAAAAAGATAGCCTAAGGATCACACAGCTTTCAAGAATTCAACATAAAAATGGGAAAACTAATGCGATACGCTGTGTCTGCAAACCTCTAATTTTATTATTAATTCTTGTTACTAACGAAGAATAACTCCATTTCTCCATGTTCACTTAATCATATGGAATTGATGAATAATTATTTATGTTTGCAGATATGTATAGCTTTTATTTTACTCTTCTATGTTGCATATGTTGCAATTACTTTAACACCATTGGCATGTGTGGAATTCTGCCCTGCTCATTTCTTCTTCTTTTTCAGACGAGCACCTCTTTTACTGGTTGTAGCACGGTGGGTGTGAATTTTTAAGGGATGTTACTTATTTCTTTCTTCTTATTTACTATTTCCTTATCCAGTTTTTCTATAGCGTCACGGGCTCGTGCATTGTACAGAGTCCTCACTTTAGCCACCTCAATAGTTACCAGCCTGATGACTGCGGAGAAAGTGTCGGCCAGATTCTCCGCAGTTTAAGAGTTGACTTCAAATCTGAATTTCACTTCAAGAGTTTACATTTGAGAATATTTTTCGATCCGATAATAATTCTGACTCGCCCAAATTCAAGATATTTAATTAGTCCGAAGTCTACCAACCTGTCAGGGATAGAAAACTCACACAGATAGGATGCAGGACCCGATCTGCTGAATTGTAACGGTGTTCGCCTCACCCACCTCTTACCCCCCCCCCCCTATGTGTCGCAAATTGGTGACTGGAGCCTAAAAATGAACCAGTTACATATGAGTGAGTGTGGCACGGTTTCAATAGGTTATAAGGACCATTTGAGCTTCTCCATAATAAAGCTATTAACTGAGTAAGCATAAAAGTTTTGTATTTTTTTGAAAATACGCATACACAAGTAATTTTCCAGGCTGAATGAACTATCCAATTATGCGATTGGTATCGTGAATGTAACAGCTTACACTATCATGTTTACCACATTATTTTTCAGAGGATCCCTAACTTTTAGAAGAAACAGCGAGATACGGATGACTGTTCAGGTAAACATCTTTTCGGATCTAGCACACTTTGGCTTTTAAAGAGTTTTCAAGGCATCTAAAGGGTGCTACATTGGTATTCAAAGGGTGAAGTTATGGTTCCGAGGCGATCCCCGCAAGTATCCTGTTGCTGCAGTGGGAGGCCTAGGGTATATTTTAAAAAATGATTAACTTTTGTAGGCCACTCGGCCCTCTTCAGAAGATACATCGTACCATCATGTCCTTAAAAACTAAGAGGCTCTGTTGAATTCCGAAAAAGGGCCTAGCTCAGCGAGTACTTCTCTCTGACAACTGCCAGAAGAAGAAAGCCATCAATCAATGTGGAACCCAGTTTTTAAGGGTCCTGAATGCTTAGCACTCTTCCATGTTTGCTTATGTGATGGACATCAAAAAGATGCCAAATCATATGAAACTTTTTGCAGGCAGCGATAGTATCTGCTTGCGAATTAGTCTTCTTTCTATACTGGCAATATGGACCCAGTGCAAATGATTATTGGGAACTACCAGAATTCTGGCAGCATACCTTGGACGGCTACTCGATGCTTATATATTATGATGTTCTAATCCTTCCTTACATGATATTCAATCAGTAAGTTTCTAGTAATATGTCTCAATATGAGGGAATTCAGTAGTTCCAGACCACTTACTGTCGAATCTCATGAATCGTTGAAAAAGCGTCTCCACGCTGAACCTCTTCCTCTTCAGACACTCCTAAAGTCCACAAAAGTGTTCAGATATGCTTTTTTTAATCGGGCCCATAAGTAGGCTTCCAGTGACTACCCGTATGTACGCTTCATAGAGGTTTTAAACAGACCTATAATACTTAAAGGGTGGGGGAGTTGGAAGCCGTCTAAGCTGTCATTGAACTATAAGGTGTCGTTGAGTTTTTCAACAAAAAAAAACAAAAATTTTTGTGTTCAAGAATTTCGGAAAAATAAATAGTAGTTGTGATGTTAATATTCGTTTTCATTTTGATTTTTTGCCCACTTTTTTTATGAGTCTACTTGCAATACCCCTTAGTAATGATGGCTGTTTTCAGGAGCGTCAAGAAGGAAATTAGAAACCTTTTTTGCAAACCGAAATTTACATCACCGCTTGTTTGTAGTCTCCAATTATCGTCCAAAAAATGAGCTAGACTTACAAGTTATATGGAGCAATCATCGAGTGATTTTCAGCTCTTTAGAGTTTTCTTCTGTGATTGGAAAATGTGGTCTTATGATTTAGAATACGCTTTCAACATTACAGGCTCTGAAGAAGGCGAATCAACCGAAATGTTGGCCGGTGATAATGTCGATATTTTCAATCTCGGAGGCTGCCCCAGGAATCATGCACAGAAGATTACTTTGATCACTGTGGTCTCCAACTTCTTTCTTGTTTTAACCTTAGCGTTGTCGTTTACATTGTGTAATATTCTTCTGCCGTTTAAGGTTTTTAGTTGGATCGCTTTATTGAAATCTAATCATTATGAATTAAATGAATTATAGATTAAATTTAAATTCATAAATTTGATCACTATGGGATTCCTCAGCTGAATGTTTTCACGCTAAACGTCCGGTGAAATGGGCGGAGCTAGCGCTGATATGATAATTTGCCCAGCTTTACAACTATAGACCATGCGTAGCTAGTCCATGTGCCGGTGAGAATTGCGCTGGGAAACGAAATCCGCTCGACATTCACCTTGAACCACTGATTTTGTTATATTCGTCAATGATTAATCACATATTAAAAATGCAACACGAAAATGATAATATAAGATTGTGTGTAACTACTATAGCGAATGCAAGTGTATAGCAAATGCCGTTTGTATGCGGACTAATATCAGCAATTTATTTACAGATGTATATTGTTTTAGACCTTGTAATAAGCATATTGCATATTATTACAGTATACATAACAATTCGCGCGGAGATGGTGCAGTCGCAAATGGCGCACTATATCACACACACGGTCAGTGGTTTGAATCACGAATCGGTGCCCGCCTAAGGCAACCGAGCTTTACATCCCTCCGGGGTCGGCTAATTGGTACCAGTTCGTCTGGGA